GCGGGTGCTATGGGTGACCTACCGAGAGAACAAGGAGAGCTCGTCCTACAGGAGCTTCTAAAAATCGAAACAAAAAAATGGAAAATGCGGGCTTGTATTTGTCCACCACGACTTTCCAATGGCTGCTGTGTGCGTTGGGGATAAAACACGCGGGAGTATACTGCTTTCTTTGCTGACGACCCCGTCGACGAATTGACCATGTCTTGGCGAACGTGGCCGCGTTGTTGTGTTTTGCCTGGGCTGTGCTCGCGGCATGCGGTTCTGAGGAGGTATTGCTCGCACGCCTTCCTTCGACGGCACCCATTGCGTGGTTGGCGGCTTCCCACGATAAGATATACCAAGACGGCCCCTTGTTCTGTGGCCCTGGTCAGGAAAGAAAAGGCCTTCCTGAGAAGATCTATCTCCTACGGGTAGTAAAGTCCGGTGTATTTTCGGGGGCAACTCATGGAATAGCAAGAGCGAATCCAACTTTTGTTGATTTCGGTAACGGCTAGGCGCAAGCGGCGTGATTTCAGGCTCACCCTCGGGCGGCAGGCAGCTACGGATTTTGCGATTTGCTGTTTTGCTTAAAAGAAAGACTGGGCACTTCTTGTGAGTGTACGTTACGTACGTGCGTACGCACGTGAGGCTCGATCGTGTCCGCGGCGCGATGTTCACCGTTCGCAAGAGTCACTAGCAAGCAAGCCTGCGCAGTGTGTCAAGGGGTGCTTTCTCTGCTGGCTTGTCAGCAGTTGCCGGTATTCCGTCTGCTTATGTATTATATTCAGTTTCAGATTCGATGTGTAGTGTTCTGCTACCTGGTAGGTGGGACCAAATTCTAGGGGGGCACGGTGGATGCAAAGTAATCGATGTCGGGTACCCTGGCTTGCTTGGTGTTTACGAGTATCCGCGTCTCTAAAAAACTCCATGTTTTGTAGGAAAGCAAAACTGCCAGTTTTGCGTCGGGGTCGCATTGCAATTGGTTTCTGTTCAACCGCAGCGGTTTGTTGACAAAGAGAGTAGGATTGGTCAATCTTGCCCCAGGGCGACCTTGTGTCCCGTTTCGCTTGTAAATACGGCTAACACCAATGGGTACGGGATGATGGGCGGTTGGATCTCGTCTGTCTGCGAGATAATAGGTACAAGGCGGGGTGGAGAGAACAACACATGCTACGTGTTAAATGTTTCGATCGTTGAATATTTCTTGCTGGTGTTCGCATAGACTATGCATACGAATGACACGATGTGAGCCTGGGCTCACGAACGCTCCCTCGAACCAACGGCATTGGGTATGTTCCGAGAGCAAACCGATGAATGGGCCCGGAATCGTGTGTATTCGTTCCTTCGGGAGCCTGTCGCGCTCTGGCACCGCCGCCGTAAACCTCCCAAGCTTCTTGTGGTCTCAAATCTTATTTTAGGAACCAGCGAAATCTTTGTTGTGTGGAATAGAGCACGACGCCCATCCGTTCGCCTTGCCGATGGATTAATGTTGTTGTTACACGGACCGCGAGGGGGACACTTTCGCTGCAAAGGCTCTCGCCCTCCCTTTCCCTCTCTCTCTCTCTCCACCACACAACCATGCACCCAGGGGTAAACTGGTGTAGAGATAGTCGTGTTGAAAATAAGTAAATACACTTTATGTGTAATGCATGCAGATAGATCCGATCTCTCGGCGAACAGGTGTAATCGCTCGATAGACCGGCGATTGACGACCAAACAATGTCGGGTGCCTCAGCTGCTTTCATTAAGCGGCGAGGTGTGTCGAGTAGAGTTAAAACCACCAACGATGGAGCGAAACGAAATGTTCGTCACGACGATGATATTTGTAGTCTACTGCTAGCTGCCTCGTCTCGCGTGTTACCAGTAAGGTCCAGGGAGATTGGGTTACACTTTGACGAGTAGGGTAACTTTAGGTTCCTCACACGAGATGTGTCACATATCGTGCCCGACCCTGCCCCACCCACCCCTAACCCTCACCATGCACGGCCGACTGTGCACCACGGAGCCCCGCAGCCCCCTCGACAACTGATTCTTCGAAGTTCCGAGCCCCAGCCAAATTTGCAAATTTGAGAACGACAACACACCGCACTACACGTCACGGGGAAGACACTGCTGTCCACGGCAAGCCTAGGGGGAACTGAAACCTCAAGAGGTTTGTCTTTGTCTTTCTCTAACTGGAGCCGTGAAAAGAGGTCTTCGACGGCTACCAAAAAGGACGGAGTGAGGAGTAGATAGATCCGGGATCGCGTCCTTCATTTGAACATTAATCTCTGCAATTCTAAGTTTGCGGGAAAGCTGTCTCGGCGACAACAACTGACCACAGCGAGCTTCATCGGACAGACGGCCACACGCGGAGAGCAGGTGGGAGGAAGTGGAGAGGGAGGGTGAGGGACGATTCATCTCGAAGAGAGAAACACACGGTAGCAGCAGTAGCAGCGGCAGCAGCAGCATTAGCAGCAGCAGCAACTATGCTTTTCAGCAGAAGAAGAGCGGCGGCAGTAGGGCTGGTAGCAGCAGCGGCAGCAGCTGGGCTGGCCACCCTCGGCGAGGCGTGCGACTACACGCTCGAAGCAAAGGCCTCGCTACGCTTCAACATCGAGACCGACCGCCTCTACCTGGAGGGCGGCGGGTGCATCACGCCCTCCGACATCTACCTGGCGAAGCTCACCAACGTGACGGAGGACGACGGGAACACCCTCACGGCAGAGGAAGCGGCGGCGATACCTATCACGCCCATCACAAAGGACGGAGAATTTTCGGACGCAGAGACAGGGTGAGAGAAAATGAGGGAGGTGGAATGCTATTTCGCCCGTGTGCGTGTCTTTTAATCGATTGGTTGGGACCTCTGCCTTCGGGTTTACGCACGCGCGCTTTGTGGGGTACACACAACCTGCTGCAGGGAGGCTGCTTGCTGCTGCTGTCGGCAACAGCAGTGCCTCTCGCTTGCGAAAAATGGATTTTTCGGCGCTACTCACAAATAGTTTGGGAGATGGTTATTTTTTTCGGGCCGTGCTGCGCATGCATCTTGTCGTCGATCGTCGACAGACTCTCACGGCAGACTTTTGTCATTTTAGAGACTTTTTCCTAACGGAATGTCGGATGAGATGGTATTTGGGCGGGAAGGTGGTACATTACTGCTCCGTTGGGGGCGTGTGCGCTGGCTAGCTGTGGCCTTACTAATACACTCGTGTAAGAAGTCTTATTTTTGTGTATTGACAATCGTTTGTTCAGGGTTGTAAAGAGAAGTTTTATGGAGTTTTATTGCTATCTGTATGGATACCATTGTTACCGTTCCTGTTCTCCTTCCCAGAATCCAGGCCCTGTTTTTCTTTTTTCGTGGAGACTACAACGCCAAGCAGTGACACTTTATCTTTCTTACGCTGGACTCATGTCACCACATGAACACTGGCGGAGTTTAAGAATTGGTGCATACAGTGGGGGCCCCGGTTTAGCGACCCCTAGTGTAACGACGAAATATGGTCACTATTTAGGGCATGTCGCTAAACCCGGTTTAGCGACCGACCATTTGTCGCTAAACCGGGATCCTCAATAGCATCTAGCGGTCGCTAAACCGGGAAACAGGGGCATTTCGTGGCTCTAGAGAGGCCTTGTTCCAGAAATATTCTTCATCGGGTTATGTATGCGTCGTGTTGCAGCATTCACATGAAGGTAGAGGAAAGAAGAAGCACCTTGGGGTGGACAACCGGGAGTAGTTCCTCTGCGGTATTCATTCTAGTCAACCAGCATGTTTGTTGTACCCTCCGAAGTTTGTAGGGAATGTCTCAACAAGTGTACAGAGGGTGCCCTTTTATGTTCGCGCATGCAGAATAATCTGTCCCTATATGCATAGATCAACACACACACTTTTTTATCGTTTTGTTTTCTTTTTCCGAGAGGTTTGTACGCGATTTTTTTGTTCCACCGCGGCGTCGTATGTGCCGGGTTTTGAGACCACGGGCTCCCCATTTTTTGTGGACTATAGAGCTAATGTGAGAAACAACAACAAACAACAAACATATAAAAGTCCGATCTGCGAAATTTGAAAAAAAAAAGGCGGAAGAGAGGAAAACGTTATGGCAACGTCCCCCCAAACACAATAATAAAACACCCTTGCATGGCACGGAATGAGTTCATGAACGCCCAAGTGGCAAAGAACCTCGCGCTGCTGGTGACTTCATTCTGCTTCTGTCGCGTGTACCGATCATGTTTAACTCAACATGTCTGATGTCCATCTGTCGCGCTGGTTTCGCGGAGTGTGTTTCGATGAACGGCGTCTTTGCCTTGCCAAGATGGTACGCTGCCTCGCTTAGTCCACGACTCCTCACACTCTTGAAGCGATCCAAAATGCCTCGATTACTCCGAGTAGGGCGGCGGCGCCATTCCCCTCCCCCCGCACCGCCAACTTCTCCAACCCCATCTACCTCTATTTCTCTTTATTTGAGACGGGTGGGGAAGCCTGCATGTTCTTCGATGCACACTCGTGGCAGGTGCGGTGCATCTCGATGCCATCGAGAACCTCCACCTCCCCACACATCAGGTGCAGGCGTACACCGCAGCCACCATGGCAAGCATGCCCCTGGGGTGCCCGCAGTTCCACATCCGGCTGTATGCGCAACTCTCCATCGGCGCACGGCATGTTGCGTGTGTGTACGTGTCCCACGGTCGTGTGTCTTTGTGTGTGGAGGACGCGGGGTCTCGCAAAATATGAACCGGTGGTCGCTATTGCCCGCTGAAAGCAGCCCAATAAGTCGCTATTGAGGGTTCGACCGGTTCAGCGACCATGGTCGCTAAACAGGGGGTCGCTAAACCGGGGCCCCCACTGTATGTACGCGTCCAATACAGCAGCACCAGCAGAAAATAATAGCTGTTATTGCGGTACTGGAGACCATCCCACGAAATTAGCATGAGCCTGTATACCCATAGCTCAGCCTTTCTTGTCAAAGACCGAAGGGCGTTTGGTTGTTGTTCATGTGGACCATTTTTTTTTTTTTCTCCCATGATTGGATTCTGTCATCCGCCCCTATGGCCCCCATCCTCCACTTCTACTAGCTAGACGACCCAACCGGGGTCACATAGGAAGGGGGGACTGGACCCCCTCCTGCGGTTCCTGCCTCAGGTATTTTTATCGCGAGAAGGGTACAGCGATCCCTTCCCTCGCGACTTACGAAGTCGATTATGGTTTACTAACAACGAGCTTTGCAACGCGTCGCTTTCATCCTAGACCAGGATCAATTTAGTGAGAAAAAACTCACTCTGCCGGGACTCGAACCCATCACCTGGCCCTTAGCAGGCCGCGAGGTTACCCACTAGACCACCGGGGCGATGTGTGTGCGTAGACTTGACTATAAATATGTCGGAAGCCTGAGACGCAAGAGTTCAACCATTGTTGCACTCCAAAAGCAAGACGTTTTTTTCGGTGCATTAGTTCGCGGTCGCCTTGAGACTTTTTTTGTCGCCGGCTGTTGGCCGCTGCAGCGGGCCAGTCTCTGGATCACAGCGCCCCTGTCGCGAGCTCTAGACTCCAAGGGCGAGCCGAGTTACAGCACCGTGAAGTACGACTAAATCTCTGCATCCGGGCGCGTCTACGGTAGGGGCTGTCACCTCAAAGAATCACAAAGCTCATTGGACGAGATTTGGGAGAACGTCAACTCATACACCATGACCGACCACCGCGTACGTTGTTGTTATATGTAGCACCGACGGCGGATTTCATTGTAAATGTGCGGCTTGGTGTCAACTAGATATCGACAGACTGCTGTCGTCACCCTCTTCAGCGTAAGCAACGCCAACTGAAGTAATTACTTCGAAGTCCCTACGGCATCGTGTATCTTGACGCACATGCACATGGCAACGTAGACATGCCTGAAATACACACATGCCCGCCAAGTGGCAAATACAGGTCTACTGCTGCTGCTGTAGGAAGGAATTGAACAGGGTTCGTCGATTTCGTGGTTGTGATACACCAAAGCTGGCTTGTGCTGTGAGTTCTCGAATATGCATGCATGCACATCTCACGGAAAACGTAAGTTTGTTTGTCTTCTGTGATACTGTCAACGACGCTGTACAGTAGTATTGAAGATGCTGCCGAAGCCTATACACTCGACCGTATACAGGTGAACGGTAGAGAATTTCACGTACGTTTGTTGTGCAGTATGCCACAACAAGTACAGTCGACCCCGCTTTAAAGACACACCACGTTTTCCCCCCAAAAAAGTGTCTTGAACGCGGGGAAGTGTCGTTAAAATTCCGGGGCCACCAACGCACCATCCCCGGGGCCAATGAAGGCGAAACATATGTCAAAAGGTGCGCATTCGCAGCAGAAAGGCGACCACAAGAGGTGTTGTTTGAAACCTTCGACACAAGGTGATTTGAAGGTCGCAACCACTGCTGCTATTGTGCTGCAATATATACTTGCATACCATCGTTTGAATTTCCCCGTACTGTACCACCAAAACGCTGAAAGCGATGGTGTTCTACGACCTACGCATCGTACATGTACACGACGGTAGTGCGCTGGTGTTGATATGGGCTTAATTATTGCTTTATTTTATTTTTTAGGCGTTGTCCTCCCCGTGAATATCTTGCCCAAGGTCTCCCTACCGCACCTGAGAAACATCGAAGGTTGTAAAACGACACTAGGAAAATGTAGGTTACGCAGAAACGCAGAGACCAAAAATGTCGGGAAAGCACAGCGACAAAGAGGACACCGCGCCTCCCAAAAGGTCGAAACGAGGCACAACACAACACAAACGCCAAATAAACCCGACCACAAAACGCGTGCATGGGTCGCCCGCACGGACGTGATGACACCAATGCAGATTTGAACTGGCACGTCGGTTTGCCGCATGGCTTCAAGCCGGCTGCAGACGAACCGCTAGCAGATGGAATGAATCTTTCCATACACCCACACGCAGCGTGCGGCTGCAGCAGACCGCTGTTGATGATCCAGGATACCTTGTATCGTAGATCATGTTGTGCGGGGTCGAGAACCCTCACTCCGCGCAAAGGGGATGATCGCACCACGTTGTGTTAAAATGGTCAAGCACCCTCGAGGCAGTTACACAGTGCTTACAATTTTCTCTAGAAGTGAAAGCACNGTAACCGACCTTGTATCGTAGATCATGTTGTGCGGGGTCGAGAACCCTCACTCCGCGCAAAGGGGATGATCGCACCACGTTGTGTTAAGTTGGTCAAGCACCCTCGAGGCAGTTACACAGTGCTTACAATTTTCTCTAGAAGTGAAAGCACCAGAAAATATATCAAGTCATACGCAGCTGTCATCCGTACG